TCAGACATTTCCATAGCCTGATCTCGAATAATCACACGGTACGTGACGTTAACGATTGTAACAATCACCAACATGCCAGGCATGCAACTTGACTCAAATCTGAGGTCAACAAATAGGGGCCCAGCTCTCCTTTCTGCAACTTTCCTCGAGCAGTCTTCAAATATATAAATCCACATAGATTTAGCACTTAAAGGACCATGAAAATAAACGATTTATTGCATTAAACACATCCAAAATTATTGTATTGCATTGTATTGTTAGTAAACTGCTTACTGCAACTACATCTATAAGAGACTTTTGTGTTGGAAATTAAGTCTCACTTTTTATAATATTTAACTTTTTTAATATTTCAGACTATTTGCATTTCATAACGAAATAAAATATAGTAAAAGAATTGTGGTACGTTTACTTTGTCTAAGTCTTGTATTTAAAAAAAAAACCTGCATGTTCATTCAACAGAAAGATAGAATTACTGTTTATCTAAAGCGATAAACGACCAAGTTGTAAATTTTTAGGTGAGCTGCTCTACAGAGGATGAAACAAGTTTCTTCACTGATATTTCTCTACCGACAACCTTCCCTCGGATGGAATCCCTGTGTTTCAAGATGAAAACCAAAGAACGCACCTTCCTCTTGTAAGTGTTATTTATGAGTGTGGAAACATATTAAACTCGTGTGGTACAAGTAGTCTTAACATAACTATAAGGACCACGCCTACTTCAACGCCCCACTCAAATCGAGTATAATTTTCGAATGTTTTACCACCGTGTGGATTCTCTACGGAAAAAGCACTCGATGTATCACTTAAATATTAAACTATAATATTGTGGCTTTCTATTTCGCTAGTTTTTTTAACTTGAAGGTAAATTTTTCCCTCGTCATTTTTACCTTTTCTCCGAGCGGTTACGTGAAATTAACAAGGCGTTTTTGATAAAAACACGACCGAGCGAAGGGTCTCGGGCGATATCTCTTTTACGCAGGCACAATTTTAAAATGTACCGCCAGAATCAAAAAGAGGAACAAATTTCCTTTATTTTGATATGTAAAGTGTCGAACAAAAAGCAGATTCACCCTCGTTTAATGGCGTTTCAAAACAGCTGTATCTTCCTCCTTTCGATTTTTTCTTGTTTTGTAAGCGTGAAAGCAGTAGGAGAGGGATCGACCACTCAGAAAGCGCTTCGGGAATTAATCTGCCATCGTTTACTTACGAGATAAACAAGTAAGATTTGTGAAGTTCGTTGAAGTACGAAGTCTAAATAGATGCCTTTTTTAAGCTCGTTTCCTGGATTTTTCGTAAACTTCCCCGATTAATTTTTCGTTTCAGCCTACTAATCTGTACTATTTCAAAGCAATGTAAAGACGAAGACGGAGAACCATGAGTCGGTCCTTTCAACAATCGTAAGCAAAGTGTTTGAGCAATCAGGTATACGAGGTGTAGTAATCAATAGCTGCACATCAGAAGTCTTCAGAAAGAAAATGTTCTGTCTTCAGAAAGCTGTCAAGAAAGCTAGTAATCGTGGCGGAAGGCAATTAAATGAACTTCTTAGCAAGTTGGAAACCGGCCCTTGGTATCGATTTAATACCATATCGATCTCAATATCATACAGTTTTGTATCTTTCTTCCGTGGATTCGCCTTTCTAACAGGGGTGTATGTTGAGTATTCATTGCAAAATCGCTTTGGTTTTTTATTTTCCTCTTTGGCCGTCGGCCATTTTGAAAATTCGCAACGGAGAGCATGTGCATTACGTGGGGCTAGTGGTCGCGTACACCTGGAACCGAGAAAAACAAATGTTCGTCGCGCTGTGGAAAGAGTTTTATATGTTATGGAACACAATTCTCACTATAAGCTCGGGTAAATTTTCTGATGGCTGAAAAATAAGAAAAGGAGAGACAGTAATCAAGTGAAGAGTCAAATTCTCAATCAGCCTGTGCGATTATTTCAGATCAGTCTATTTATTGCATGGAAATGTCAGAGCTAGAGGGTATTAAAAGGAAGAGGTTAAGAGGTGGTCATAATGTAAAAGACTCTGACTTTTCTTCTTTTTTTTTTTGGGGGGGGGGGGAGGAGGATCACATGGTTCTCATGGGAAACGGAGGGAGGATAACTTGTCACCAGCAGAGTATAAAGGGGGACTACGTATCTATTTGGTAGTCTGAAAGCATAAAGCAGCGACACCAAACGGTACCCAAGAGGTTGCTACCATGAAGTATGTGCGCTTTAAAGTTACACTGGATTTGGATCTGTATCTTAGCCCCGACAACAGGGCGAGAAATCTGCCCACGCTTATGGCCGCCATTGTCAACAGAGGCACTGAGCATGATGAATAAGCTGTTATGTTCGTTGCTTTGTATGCGAATCGACAAAGATACCGCTCTTTGAAAGGTTGGCTGACAATACTAAGTTGATCAGTTGTTGCCAAACAACGATACAAGAGTTTGGACGGTGGATGAAGGGATGATACTTTGTGAAGGGCAACAAGGATGAGAAAGTTCCCCAAAAATTCCATGAGCGAAAGGAGAATGTGGACTGCCGTAAAATAAATTGGTTGTTGTTGCAATCCACCTGCCGATGATGGCGAGCAAACAAGGTCTTCAAATGTTTTTGTTTGCCTTTCAAATGCTGTTAAATTTGTAGTCGGCATCATCAGCATCTACTTTTCTTTGGATACAACAGTGATATTTCGCCTTCAGAAAACCTCACACCCACTGTGGCTACAATCTCATCTTTTAATAATGCATGTACACTCAAGACTCGAGGTTAATGAGGTCTGAGAAAGACGAAAACGGTGAGCAGCTATTTGACTACTCTGAGTTTCTTACAAGCAGGCAAATTTCTAGCTTTTTTTTTCTCGTCTGGCCTCAAAGCGAAGTCTCAACCACCAAGAGGTCAACCAGAGCGATGACGATGAGCAAATCAGAGCAGAAAAGGAGAGCCAGCTACAAGCAATGAGTAAAAAGGTGGTGTCTGAAATTTCTATTCAGCACGCACATCCAATCTTGTACAACGATTACAGCATTTGTGAACTAGTTAGGAATTCTAAGCTTTCAAACTTTTCAATTAAAGTGTTAAATGACGTTTGTACTTCTTTCAGACTCGATGCTTCCCAGGTGAACGTTAAGAAGAAGAAGCCGAATGTCGATATTCTAACAAGCCTTGTCATGGGCTGCCAATGTCAGGCAAATGGGAAATGAATGATAATGTTTGATGGTCCCTGCAGCTGCTGTTAGTTGTGAATTCTTTGGTGTAAAGTCCTGCTGAAAGGGTTTCGCAACTGTGTTTTTACTGATGAAAGAAGCTGAAGTTTGTTAGAAGCGCCGAAAAGGTTATTTGCAGTCGAGAGCAGTGGCAGTTAAGAAAGCGATATTGACTCTTTCGCGGTTAATTTAGTTTTGTAAATTTAATTGTCTTGCCTATACGTCACAAAGCGAACAGACATGGCGGTAATTAAAAAGTATTTTCACTCCAGCAGAAAAAAATCAATTTGGCTGAAAATAAAGGCAAAATCAGAGTCAAATGGATATTTAGACTTACTTTTTCTTTTTTATGTAATTGTTCTTATTTTAAAAAATGACCGTCGAGCGACCATACCTGAAATTATGCTAATTAGGTCATGCAAGCCCTCAGTTAGTCCACTCAACTCCTGCAAAAACCTCTCTTTGAAAACTTTGTTGGTTTTTATCGATTGCTAGTTAAAAAGGCATGGGTAAGCACATATAGAAAGTTAACCAATGGGCAGAAACTTAAGATTCGTATGCGAGAGACCAGCAAAGTTTTTAATCGTATACCGTGACTGGCACTGGTGAATAATCGTACTAGACAGAACGCTGACAGAATATCCCTGCAGAAACAAACTTCAAATGATAAAATATATAGTAATTTATTAAAACTGGGTATAACTATGTTATTTGTTTCTGAAAAAGTTCTGCTTTTCGATCCAAAGTCATTTCGAAGGCAGAAATATTCCTCAAGAGGCTGTCCGCTTAAGAACGTATGGGGCAAATTTCGGTCCTGCACCGATTTCCCTAAGTTTTCAGTGAGAGTCAACAATTCTATCCCATGTTCAAATATCACATTTGTTTTGATCAATTTTATTTTATTATTTTTTTTTTTACGAGACAAGGTCACCCTCAAACTGCTCAATTTGTCTTCTGTGACCCCTATGATTAAGCTATAAATATCAAGCGCTACCAAATCCTTATTTCCCAATCTGCAAAGCTGATTATTTTATATATTTAAGAATGACTTTATTTGAATACTTCTAAGGTAAAACGATTGCATTCTGTAAAATTTTTACCGAGTTATGAAACTTGAAAATACCTTATCGTGAGCATTAAAATTTGTGAGGAGTGAGGTACATGCGGTTGAAAGCTATTTTCTCTTATGTGGGACCTGATCTAGAGTCAAGTCTATTGCAGCTTAAAAGTACTTAGATAGAGCAAGTTAAATATAGAATAAAACTTTTGGGCACTCCTCATCCTGCGCCGTAGAGAGCTTTGTGAATTTAATAAATATTCGCTGTCTTGATCGATACCAACGATAACGCAGTCCGACCAGCAGACAGGTTTGTAAAGCTTAACAGCCCTAAAACACTTAAAGGTGCAGGAACAACTATCTGATGGAGTATCGAGATCCATATTATTCATCATTTTGGCCTTTTTTAACGAAATGGTTCGAATATTCTAGAAAATACTTTAAATTAACCGCGGCCTCCTGGCTGCAGCGATCGCATTCATACGATACACGCCAAAAACAGTTTCCGTAACAACATTTAGCTATTCAAAGAACTGTTTTTAAGAATGTGGAAACTCAATAGTTGTATCATTTCTTGAATGCATTACGTAAAATTTCAAGATCCCGACTTCCAGGAGAAATGCTCCCATCAACACACAGAAAACTGTAACGAGTGTCAAAATGTCTTAGATGAAGTCGAAGACAAAGTTCGAGGTCCATTTTGGATCCCTTACAGCAGTGAACATCGAGACGATATGCTATACGACTTCAAACTGGCACAGATATTTTTGAGTGGAAGGCTCATATTGCTCGCTCTGTAAACCAGGAAGCAGCAAAGCAAGATCAGCTGAAGACGATAAGTACTAATCAGAACTGTGCACTGGTAATAATGGACTGGGCAATGAAGTTCCTTCAGCTTAAATATCGTGAGAAGCAGTCAGATTGGTTTGGAAAGAGAGGATTGAGTTGGCACATCTCCACGGTGATCACATGTGATCCAAACCTTGAAGGTAGACTAGAACGGCGGTCGTATGCCCCTCTGTTTGACGCATGCCAGCAGGACTGGTTCGCTGTGTGTTCCATCACAGAAAGCACACTGAGAGAAATTAAGACCGAAAAGCCTCACATCACCTGGGTTTATCTGCGGTCAGATGAAGCTGGCTGTTATCATAATAACCCCCTCATTGCAGCAGCAAGAGGAATTGGTAAGCGGGTTGGTTTAGAAGTTTGTCGGTACGACTTTTCAGAGCCACAATATGGCAAGGATGTATGTAATAAAATTCTGTGTCTGATGAAAACATGCATCCGACGTTTCTGCAACGAAGCACACGACATTCTATCAGCGGGAGACATGAGGAGGGCACTTTCTGAAAGACCAGTGAAAGGTACATCCGCATGCTTTTGCGAAGTTGACGAGGCGAAGATAACCCTAGAAGTGAACAAGATAGATGGTTTTAGCAAGCTTCACAATGTCCAGTTTGAGGAGAAAGGTATTCGTGTGTGGAGGTCGTACCGAATAGGGAGCGGCAAGGAAATCTCTTTTGACCAGCTGGTGTTAAAGGGCCAAGGGGACACTGGTATCGTTGTTAGTGAAAAAATTTTCCCTCTTCATGATGCACGTGTTTATCAATGCTCAGATCCTGTAACAGAGAGTTCAGAAGAAGAGAATGAATGGGACGATTCGAATATAAGCATGTTTGAATGTTCCGAACCTGGATGCGTGAAGAGTTTCGAAACATTTTCAGAGCTCGAGTCACATTTGGACGTAGGGGATCATTGCGTCAAAGATGAAAGGCCGTCAGAAAAGCTTTATGACAAGCTTCGAAGAGATTGGGCAGACAGATTTACTACGTTAGTCAACGTCACTGAAAATGAACCGTCTGAATCTAATATCCGCCAAAGTGGAAATGTCTCAATAACCGCGTTGCACACTGTCATTATGGGCTAGGCCCTACACAGGCCACGAGCAGGATCCATTAGATTAACTGACAAAGTTAAGAAATATCTAACTGCAAAGTTTGACCCAGGGGAACAATCAGGGCTAAAAGCTGACCCTCAGCAAGTCTCAAATGATATGCGCAAGACAAGAGATGAGCAGAATAGAAGGTTGTTTGAACGAGACGGGTGGTTGACTAAGAGCCAAGTACAGGGTTTCTTTTCTCGCCTTGCAGCAAGCAGAAGAAGGCAACAAGCATACTCAGAAATCGAGCACAATCCAAAGGAACTATTTCTAGAGGAAAAAGAAGCTGAAAGACAACAGCTAATGGCGCACATTTCTAACGAACTGAGGCCGCAACACCCTCTGTCCTACGACGCCTTTAACTTGTGCAAGTGTGCGAGAGATAATAAGCTGAGTCTTTTTAATGTTTCACTGCTTAAAGAAATCTTGCGCTTTTTGAAGTGCCATTTAAATCAAGAACAGGAAAAAAGACCTGATTGAACAACTGATGTCCTTTATACAAGAATGTCAGTGCTTTAATGAAGTGTAACACACGGGCCACGGTTGGGACGACTGTAAGCATGGAGCCCTGGCAAATCAATGATAGGGCATTTACAGTGAATTTGTTGAGAAGCAATGTGCACCGCCTCTAAGTACCCTAATGTACAGTTCTATATCGATGAATAAGAGCGCTTAAAGTATTAACATGTAAGCAAACACGTAAAAATCATTTTAAAATTGGCACCTGTTATTTTGTAGGCGTGCCTTTAATTTCAAAACAAAAAAATCATAGGCCTATCGTGACCATGAGTCATGTTGACCCTCACTCTATAGCATGTTCGAGCATTTACAAAGGAGACTTTCTCTATTGCCTCCTCGAAATTTTCTCAATGATTTATGCCTTTAATTGAAGTTACTAAATTCGCTTACCTACTTTTGGAAACGTTTATTAAATTAAATATACCAATTTCTATCGGTTGCATAATTTCTCAATTTCTTCTGGGGAGATTTTCATACTCTCGATGGCGAAACATCAACATATCATGATATAAATGCCGAGCTAAATATTTCTTTAATTTGAGTTCACCAGCCGTGAGACAATCCTTTAATGCTGATATTGCGTGACCAGGCTAGTTCACGGCAGTCCACAGTCACGCTGGAAAAACTCCACCGTGTTAATAATGAGAACCAACTAGGTCACAATCTAGAAAACTTTCACAAATAGTGAGACAAAATTTTTCCCCAAGTAAGGGTGAATTATTTTCCTGAAGAAAAACGGCAAAAGAGGTCTGAAAAAGATTATGCACAAGATAAAAACAATTGAGCGAAA